ATCAACATTATGTCTTGTTATCATACAGTGGTATGGAATCCGTGGGAGAAGAAATCAAAATCAATGACAGATTTTGGCGATGAGGAGTACAAGCAGATGCTATGCGTGGATGGGGCAGCAATTGAGAGGCCTATCACCTTGAAGCCAGGTGAGGAATGGACAGGGCGGTTGACACTCTCAGTGGTGCCATCAAGTTTCTGCAGCGAGCATTTTGATCTCCAGGGAAAAAGCCTCCGATGAATACTTAAAAGAGGAATATTCATTGAGTGTTCTTAAGACTTTGGATTGGATTAACCTAGGGACTTTAGGAATAGTTCAATGTTGTTTTATGTCTTAGCATTGAACTGACTGTAAAGTATGAATGCTCAATTCTCATACCAAGTGTGATGAGAATTGACAAGGTCCTGAAATGAAGATAGAGAAGCCTATGTTTTTCAAGAATGGCTGCTTGACTTTTTTTTTTCTTTTCTAATTTCAAGTGTCACCTTCTGTGACTGAAATAAAATTCTTCCTCAATTCTATCAAGTTATCTTTGTTTTAACACGACTTTGTTCTATATGGCTCTGCTAGAGAAAGCAAGGAAATATTGATATACAAGCATGTCAACTTGAATAAAATCCATCATTATAGCTAAGGATATTTCCAGTGGATTACAAGTACAAAGTATAGAACAGTGTCCTTCAAGTATTAAAAAGATGGTGCACAACCGCATCAATTATAAGAAATAAATTCTCCATTATAAATTGATTAATTAACTATTGCTTCTAATGAGCATTTTGATACAGATCTCTCTACTGCAGCTTTAGAAAGGAAAGGAAGAACCAAAAAAAAAAAAAAAAGGAGAGAGAGAGAGGAGAAATTTGAGTTTCCATGATCCTTGGAATGATTGAGTAGCATGGCAAATAGTATTCTCTTGATACATGTTTGATTTTGCAGAATGGTAGTCTCAAGTAAGCAAAGGCTGATTGACCTCCAAAAATTTCTACAACCTGTGGAATCATGTGATGTAGCACTCACTACACTTGAACATGAAGAAGTCTTTGGAAACCATTCTGCGTGGCTTCTTATTTTCCAAGCAGAAAACAAGAAGGGTTTTGGTCAGTAAATCAGAGTGAATGCAAATAAACCAGAGGATCAAAGTCACAATTCTTTATCAAGTTCAAATAGTATTTTTCCCTTTTCTCAACATTTAAGAATAGAAATCCATTGTCTTTAAGCAAGTGGAATGCCAAGAGGATACATTTTAAAATTTGAACTTTCACTAGAGAGGTCAATAATCAAAGACTATCTTACCTGGATGTAAATTATAAACCTCGGCGATACTCTAGTTGCTTGGTATTCTCTAGTAATACCTGCAGATAAAAGCAGTAAACTCCAATGAATCCCTGACAACATTGATAAAGAAGCAAGTACACCTATGTTGATGCTACTAGCATGGCTAAAGTACAAATAACACTGATAATCTTAACCAAATTCCAAAATGATAAAATTGGGAGACAAAAATGGAAACAAGTTCCTTACTTCTCGAATGTAGTTTTCTATTGCCTTGCAGCCTTCAATTGCAAGTTGCATAACATTTTCAAAGATATCCACCGGCAACTTCGCATCCATCTACATTAAAGAAGCATAAAGAATCACTCAGTAGGAATAAATCAGACTCCTTATTGCACGCAAACTACAAATAAACGGGAAAATAGTCAATGAGAACCTGAAGAAGGGTCACTTGGTCCAACTTGGGTAAAATTCCTACGGTGACATCAGGGCCTCCTGCACTGTCTTCAGTGTAATTCAAATCTGTCCGCATGAAAAACACCAATTAGGCCAAATACCCAAATATACCAATAACAAAATAAAAAGGTGAATACTTAAACATCCAAAGGAGCAAAACAGAAAGGAAAAGTTTCAAATCAAGGTGTATACCAAGCAAAGGAGTGCTATTTAGATATCCAGCACTGCAAGAAGTAACAATATCACGCATTGGGATTCCAGCATCTGCAAGTGCTAAAGTTGCAGCATTGATACAAGCAGATCTAGTTCCTGCAGACACCAATCCTTCTTGTAAGCTGTTCATTTACCCACCCTAATTCATCTTATGCTTCTTTTTTTATACAAAAGGAATAAATAAGTAATTGTATTGCGATCCTAAGTATGACAAACAAACTAGAATGTCAAAATTATGGAACAAGTGGCAAGTAGAAATATCTAAAATCTTTGGCAAACTTCCCTGTAAAACAGTAATATGAAAGTAAATGCACAAGAATTAATCTAGAGATGGTTCATAAGTGGATAATAAATACAGGTCCATCCAGACACAAGTTTTGAGTGGAACATGATTTCCAAACATTACATGAGAAAAACAATGGCAATAAAATAATCATCTATGACTGGAGATGAATTCCAACTCACCTCCATCTGCTTGAAGAACTTGCACAAAAATATCGATCTGCAAGAGAAAATTAAAAAATAAATTATCAAATGTGTTAGGAAGGGAACGAATCCATGACCATTTTTCTGACGATTATAAGGAGAATTAAAATTGAACCTGAGATCGTGGCATTAAATGAGTCAATATGCACGCTTCCATAGTCTGGCGGATGACTAGAGATATCTCAGTTGATCGCCTGAATGTAGCAATAAAATAATTTATATAAAAGAGCAAGAAAATAGTATCTTACTTAGACAAGTATCAACTTGATCATGCATACAAAATCAGGTTTGAACTCAATACAAAGAAAACTAGAAAAATATGAAAAGCTGCCAACACAACCATATCAAAGGCTATTCATTCACTCAAGCATATCCAAAATGTAGCCACACTAGATTCATAACAAACAAATTATGGTGGCAGCTTATAACAGAACACACAAAGAACAAAACAACAAGAATAAGTGGAAAAAAAAAAGAAAAGAAAAGAAAAAGATCACCTGTCACCCTTTGGTTTTCTCATGCGATCTCCAGTACTGAAATTAGCCATACTATATTCACAGCGCACCTGAAGAACATACACATAATCTGAGAATTTAATCTTACAGATCTTCAAAATCCAAGCGGTAATCTAGCAAAAAAGTAATTACCAATGCATGATCACTGATTTGCTGGCTCTTATTTTGAACCTGAAAAACATAGACCATATTTCCTCAAAATCACATATTCTCATACAAGATCATACTTCAAAGTAAAATGTAAAGAGCAAAAAGTGTACTTCTTTCGTGTCAAACAACAAATACACAAGGGGAAGTAACAAAGAGGTACCTCTCTAGGACCATAAACTGCAGCAATGACTTTGGTGTTACCCATCTCGAAAACAGCAGAACTGGCAATTAAAATTTGAAAACAAAGTTAATTCATATTAACAGAAATTAGTGCCAGGGGCATTGGATTAGCTCAGGAAAGTGCAAGAAACTCACCCATCAGCTTTGGACACGTTACCAATCTGTGCACGAAGCTGCCTCATCTGTATCATGAAAGGGAATAGAAAAAGACTAACTTTAGAATATAAACCGGAAATATATTGGCGACCATTGATGATCAAAGCGATAAAGGCACATACTTCCGTGGGGCGGCGACCATCGATACGGAGACCGTCGTGGCTTACGTATTCCATGTAGGACTGTTGATATTGGCGACGCACAACGATTACAGAATATTGCGCAGAATATCGGAAAATTTCTCTGCTTTAACCGTAGCTTGCCGGCGAAGGGGAAGAGGCGCAGATGCTCTAGTGACCTAGTTTCTGCAGGTGGCTTTCATGGAGCGGAGGCGGAGGGAAACGAAGCAAGAGGAAGGAGAAAGTGTGACGGCCTGAAAATGAGAGGCCCAAAAAGAAGGTTTTCTGATGGACTGGTTTTGGAAATTTGATCTGGGCTGGTTTTCCTTTTTGGGTTTTTTAGGCTGTGGGCTATTTTGGGTGCTTTCGGTTCGGTTCAATAAGACTTGAAATGGAAATTTCTATTATATAGTTAAAAGTTTAAAAAAAAAAAGAAGAATTTTTTAAACAAGTAATTTTCATTATTCTTTTTTTTTTTTCTTTTTTAACAAGTATTGGTCAGCTGAAAAAAGGTACATATAAATTTTTTTAATTAAAAATGTAAATTTTATTGAACTCTAAATAAGATAATAAAATTTTAATTTTTTTTTATTTAAAAATATCAACTTTATATTCTTTCTACATAACGATTAATCACATGGTGATAATGATATGTTAAATGGTTTTCTTAACCATCAAATTAATCATTAGATAGAAAAAACAAGTTAATATCCTTATTTGGAAAAAAGAATATGAAGTTGATATCTTTAAATGTAAAAAATTAAAAAGTTATTACTTTATTTAGAAACCATCTTCACATCTTTAAATAGAAAAAATGATAAAATTTGTACCCTCATCCTGAAATAAAAGTTAGTACACATAGCAAAGCCAAGACATGACTTTCCCCTAATCTTCATCAAAAAAACTCATTTTGGTGTAACATTATCGCAATTAATATCATTTTATATACACATTTTTATATACTTAACTCTTAAATAAAACACTTAAGAAAACACATCTCTTTCAATGCACAAAATTTTCTTAAAAATCACAACAGTATTATTTTATTCAACTCATATTTTATATATTCAAATAAAAAATTGAATTATTATTTTTTTTAAGGAGAGCCTTTGATTCAACTGCACGAGAGTTTGTTGGATAGACAAAAATGCTATAGCACATAGTGCTGCACCAGGGTTGGGCATTGTAATATATGTTGATATTTGCATCTATCTTTTCATTTTATTTTATTTTTAAATTAATAATTTAAAGAAAAAATTTATTTTATTTATTTTATCTTTAAAAAATAAAAATAAAGAGATTTTTTAATCAAATATATAATTAAAGTTGATAAATAATAATAATATTATTATAATTAAAATAGATTAGAAAAAAGCCAAATTCTATATCTAGAAATAGAATCCAGTGCAGATACATATCTTCAAGAATTCTCTCATGTAGAATCCATTATTAGATCAGTCTTCATCTTGCTTGAAAAAAAATCTAAACATGCACGGTAATCCTGCATTTTAGGGAAAAAAAAAGTAGCAATTTTCATTAGTATAGGAGTAGTGCAATAGGGTAACTTTTTTGTTTCATATTTATATACAATTTTCACATATTATTAAATGAATAAATGTATTTAATATTAAGTATTTCACATGAATTAAAAAAATCGATCATTTTAATGATATGTTAAGTTATACAAGAAAATATTACAAAATAGTTGTCCCAATTGTATTTCTTTTTATATATATTGGAAAATAAATCCTTTTTTTTCTTTTAATGAATTTATAGGATGGGAAAATTAATAATACGTACCATTTTAGCAAGGTGATGGTACACTTGGGCATGGTACCGCCGTCCAGCTCCTTCATGGTTCCACTGCACTTCACAGCCACCCCCAACATGCCCAACTTCATCCGGCTCAGCCCCACTCCTACCTTCGTCTGAACCTCCATGTTCACAACCAAATTCTTGCTTCGCAGCCGAGCTTGGGGTCTCTCACCCGTTCCACCATACAGCTTCTGGTTTTTCACTTTTGTCTCTACCTTCAAACTCGTCTTGTTCATACTCCTCTGAGTGAACTCCGGCAAACTCGCAGTCCCCAAATCAGTCTCGTCGCTGCCCTTCCCCACACTCACGTCCACCTCCATTGTACCGTAATATAACGTTATCTTCTCGTTCGGATTCCTGAACTCAATTTGGGTCACCGTTTGGGCGTCGAGGTACTTACCGTTGGGTGTTAACGTGACATTAAAGTCTAAGATCTTGAAAGACTCAATGCGGAAGAGTGGGAGTTTTGGATTGAACCAGAAGAAGAAGACAAGTCCAAATACTACAATGAGGATGATAAGAATCAGGAGGAGAAAACAGCAATAGCAGCAGGAGGTACGACAACAGCTTCGGCTTTTCTTTTGTGGACTGATGGATACTGGAAGGGCTACTTTTCTCGGTACTGGTCTAGCGAAAGCAGCAGGAGGTTGGGCAGGGACGTTCGGGCCTGGAAAACCAGGCGGTTGCTGGAGAACCGGTCGTTGCGGCGGCATTCTGTAATCGGCCATTTCTTGTGCTCGAATTCAAAGGGACTCCGTTTTCTAGAAACGAGAAATCAAAAACAGGGAATGAATAATTAAAGGACCCTTTTATTACGCTGAAAGACAGATACAAGTACACAGATTGTACCATTCTTGATTAATGAACATGAATCTAATAAATAAAAATACGTACGTGATAAATACATATTTTTATTAAAAATTAAGTTTTAATTTATTTTTTAAAAAAAGTATAAATCTTGATTTTTAAAAATAATTAAAATTTTAATTTTAAATTACGTAATTTTATTTAATTAAAATTTAATTTAAAATTTAAAAAATTATCTTATTAAATTTTAATATATTAAAATAATATATAATGAATTTTTAAATTTAGATATTAATATTTGATATAATAAAATTTTAATTTTTAGATATGAGTTAAGACTACAATTATTTTTAAAAGTGAAATTGATACACTAATTTTTTTATTTAATAGTAATATTAAAATTAAAATTAATTTTTATATTTTTTATATAAATTTATGATAAAAATATATTATTCTAACTTTATATGCCACATATTAAAAAATCCTAAAATGAAACGGTAATTCTTGAAAATCAACGGCATTAATGCATATTTTCCATTAATTAAAATTATTAAAAGAGATTGGATCAGTGCTATATTTAAGGTGGAATTAAATTGAACCCAGCAAAATCTTGGAACAAAGAATGTTAAATTTCGATGAAATAAGGTTCTAGCAAAAGACAACAGAAACTTGAATATAAAGCGACGGAGTCGATCTCAGATTTCAGAGAAATAAGAACAAGCGTTAAAACAGATGCTTACGTTACGTACATAGATATTTTCAGAAGATACAGCAGAACTGCACTCGAGAACTGGTTGCAATTGATCCGACCAAACTGATGCAGAGATATGAGTTTCTGATCCTTGTAGACGGAGGTCTGGATTTATGTTTGTAAGAAGGAGAATGATTCACAGCGAATCGAATAAATGGGACATATATGTTAGAGAAGCGAAATTTAGGAGAGGGAAAAACAGAGTTGGGTTGTCTGGTTTTATATGCGGTTTGGCTGGTAGCCGGCTTGGTGGAATTAATAGAGTACGCGAGATTCACACGCAGCGTCTATTTCCAAATTTGGTTATTAGATTCTATTTTTTTTATTTTTTATTTTTACAAAAATAATGGTTAAAAAGTTAGTATAAATTAATTGTTAGTAACTGATTCTTAAATAAGGTGAACATTCCATCCTTTCAAATGAAGCTTATGACCACTATGTCATTTTTTGGTAAAATTCACAACGATGATGAAACTCGAAACTCCGATTATTCCACTCAAATACTTAAAAGTTTGAGATGGTTATTAGATTCTATTAGGTTCGTCTAATCTGTGTCTCATCGGATCTTGGGATGAAGTGACGCGGGTGACACAGCCATTTATATCTGTATTTCCTTAATTAATGCCAATAACAGCGTGAATTTATGAGAAATGATTTTGTGATAATTTTTTTTATTATTTTTTGATATAATTTTATGTATCATTTAAATAATTAGTTATTTTAATTTATATAAAATTTATAATATTGAATGCATCAACTTATTTAATAATATGTGAAAGTTATATTAAAAAATAATATAAAAATGTTATTTTTATAGCACCAAGCTGGATTTATATTAAAATATTAATGAAAATTTCAATATTGTTTTATAGGTTTTTCTAATATATATTTTTAGATTACATGTTAAAAGTATATTTTATACGTTTTAATATTGGAAAATCCTTGTTTTCTTTCATAATAGAAAATAAACTGAGAAAAAGCTTTTTGTAGTGATTACATTAGACTTTTCCCTAAAATTAACTGAAGATAGAATTTCGAATTTTATATAAATGAAAATGTTCTAACTAAATTTCTTAAATTGTGTAAGAATTTTTTAAAAGGCATATAATATCATTTTTGGCAAATAATTAAAATAATAAGTACTCATTAATTTTAATTAAACAAATATTAAAATTTTAAAATAGAACAATAAGCAAAACTTTTTTTTTTTTGGTTTTTTATTTCTTTGATTAATGATTTTTATTTTAATAACTGAACCTAATTCAAAATTTTAATTTTGATTGCCAAATTTTTTTTTTAAATTTTATAGTAATTTGTTTAACTAATATTAATAAAATTTTAATAGTTTAACAATTATATTGGAAAAAGGATCTAATTGGGGGAGAACGGCATCGTCCTGGTTGGCTGTAGCCTTTTAAATAGAACCACCACAGAACACACCTTTGTTTCAATTGGGCCGGACCAGCTGCTTCCCCGTTTATCTAAAACCCAAAATACCGGGGCTTTTGTGGTAGTAGGGTGTCTACCAATCAGAGTCAGGCCCGTCAGGATCCAAATCCTCAAGATTCCACAACTAGAGAGATAAACATCTTTTTCTTTTTTTTGAACATGTTTACAAGGGGCGGGTTTCGAACCCATCCTGAGAATGGGAGAATGCACCGGGGTGACTATTGCCACTAGGCCTCAAGGACCAGGTGCAATAAACATTTTTTTCTACAAAAAAAAAAAAAGAGAAATAAACATCTTTAGCCTAACCCTTTCCATTTTTTTTTTTAAACATGTTTAGCCAAACTTTTTATTTTTTTTGAATATGGGGGAATTTTGACAAATGGTAGATTTTTTTTTTTTAAACTATTAATAGGAGTCAAATTTTTGACTAATTAAAATCAAACACTAAAATTTAAAAACGAATCATTAGACCTGAAATCACGATTCTTTTAGCTAAACTTATTGGAGAAAGAAAAAACCAAAAAAGAAAATAATCTTTAACCAACCATAGGACAATACGTTTAATACTCACATTTTTTTTGTTATTTATTATTATAGACTGAATTTTGTTAGTACCATGATTTTATTAATTGCTGATATCTCAATATAGGTGCATCATGAATTTTGTATTTATAGCGAAAGGAAGAAAATAAGCAATGGTCACGTGAAAGAAATGAAAGCTGTGACATGGAACTAATGAGAAGAAAGTCATCTCGTTTTCCACCTACCATGTACAAAGTGCAAGGACAACCAATATCCTTCTGTTCCTTGGTCCCCAAGTCTCTTGTGCCACTGCCACCCATTTAATTTATATCTCATCAACCTCAGTCATGTGCAAGTTCTCATCATGTGCCACAAAATTCAAAATTGTAAGTATTTATTTATTGGTATTATTATTATAAAAAAGCATTTTTTTATTATAAAAAAATAGAAAACAGTTTAAATTATATTGAATTGTATTATATTAATTATTAAATAAAAATATGATTTTTT